TTTATATGGGATTGCATTTGAATCCTTGTTATATTTGTATTTGAACTTTTAGATACAATTGAGACCCAAATTTTGGCCATTTATTTTACCCTAATTAGAACCTATAAATAGACTAATGAGGTTATGAATTAGGTGTAAAATTTTTTATTTTGAATTTTGAGATTTGCCTCTTTGTTAAAATCCTTGTTTTTCTTTTTCTCAATTTTTTTCATTTTTGTTTGGGTTAAGTGCTTCAATAGAAGACTAAACCTTTTGTTCAATCTGTGAAATTCAGATAATGTAAATCTGATTTGAATTTTGGACTAATTGCTTCGAGTTTGTTCTCTTCTTCTCTAATCTCATATTTGTGAATTATGATTATGATTAACTTTTCTGTGGGTTAGAATTTGAATTAGAATTTGATTGATATGCTGATTTGATAATTAAATTTGGATTAGATTAAATGATAATTTGATTTAATTCTTGATCTAATTCAATTAGGTTATTCAATTGAATTAATATTTACATTAGGTAATTGTTTAAATTTGGATTAAAATATTTAGATAATGTGATAATCGAAATGACATGCATTTGAGATTCTGTGGATTAATAATTCTTATTCTATTTTTCTTCAAGTTAATTATGTTCATACTTTTAGTTTAATTGATTCAAAATTCACAAACCCAAACTGTTACACGTGTTATTAAAGAACCTAAAATTGAATTTAATTGAATATATGTCTCTGTGAATCGACTTAGGTTGAGCTTTATACATCAAAATTCTTAGAAAAACTTAGTTGTTTTAGTAGCAACTCAGCAATCGTCTATTAATTCATAAGTATTTTCCTTGAGATTCCTTTTACTAATAGGATAGGTAAGTACCTGAACGTTCCTGTTTTTCATTGTAGACCCCTAAAAATCTTTATGCCTACCTTATAGATAAAATTAGGGAAAAAATTGGCTTTTTGTAAAATGAACTCTCTGTCTATGGCTGATAGAGTGCATCCTTTTCAGTCTTGTCCCATGAACATCCTAGCCTATACAAACAAACCCAACTAATTCCTGTTAGTATATGTAAGGAAATTAACAATTTATGTAAACATTTTATTTGGAGATATTTAGGAGCCAATAAATGTCACCTTATAAGTTGGAGTACAATCTATACTACTAAATCTGATGGGGGTTTATGATTGAAAGATTTGGAGATGTTAAATAAAGCTTATCTGATGAAGATTTAGTAGAGGTTATTCACTTCCCCTTCAGCTTTATGGGCTCAGGTCCTATATAAAAAATATAAGTTTGTTTGGTCAAAATCTTTAGACTATGAAAGGTATAAAAGTCTCTCACTTGTGGAGTAGTTTGTTATATGTTTGGTTCATATTTTTCCAGGGTATTGGTTGGGTAATTGATGATGGGACGAGTGTTAAATTATGGTAGGATAATTGATGTTTTGAATTTGGTCTCTTGTCTAATCATGCTTATATGTCTCTTACTAATTTAGATTTGGATATTTCTGTTGTTTTATTTTTTGATAATGGGCCTGAGATTGGGAAAACTTGTTACTTTACTTCTTGATTAGGTTTGCAAGATTGTGCACTACTAAAAAAGTATAGAAAATATAGACAGATTTTAAAAAAATTTATAGACAAATTTTAAAATTATAGATGGATTTATAAATGGATTAGAACCATATATAATTTCCTCATTAGTAAATAAATATAGACAGATTTTTCTGTCTGTAATCCGTCTATGATATTTATTCTTATTTTTTATTTTTACTTATTGTTTACTTGTATAATTATTTCTCGTTGTTTCTAATTATCATAATTTGTGAACATATTGAAAATGACAAAATTATAAATTGAAATCTAGAAAATATTTGTAAAATGTTAAATTAAAATGTCATTACAATTAAAGATATAAACATCTAATAAATAATGTCAAAAATAAAATAACAATGCCTATTATGAATAGTCGATATGATCATTGTTAAAAGGAGTATCACCATTAGTAGAGGAAGAAGAGGTGGAGGAATGTCGCATAGAGCCAAAGACTAGTGGTGCTCGAGCTAGTGGAGAAGAAGGAAGAGGTGCAGAGCTGCTTGTTCTCATGAGTTCAAATTATGCATGCATCTATATATGCTATTATTGCATATGTTGCTACACCTTCCTTTGCATCATCGATACCACATTTTTCTCTATTTTCTTCATTTTCTTCACTTACTTCTTCTTCTGTGCACTTCTCCATATACAATACTACAAATGTTAGAATTGAGTGACCTTCAACTCATTGGAAAGTTAATAGAAATGTCTACAACTTTGACTTAGTAGACATAGAGACTATACTTGCATTTCTCTAATGTAACCCTTTTCATTTGTTCCTGTATAATTTCTTTCATTTCTTTTGTTCATCCAAGGATATGGAAGGCTAATTTCTCTTTCTTTCTTAAAGATTAACCATATAATAATTTGGATCACATGATATTAAACTTAAATGTGAATTCAAATTTTGTTTCTCCTTTCTTCTCAATTTTGATTTTGCATTACTATTAATTTATGAATTTGATTAAAAAAATTATATAATTAAAATAATCTTAATTGAAGTCAAGTTAATCAATTTAGAATAATTTTAAATTAATTACATGCTTATTGCAAATTTGCATTCTAAGTTAATAAAATTACAATTTAAATTATTTTACCTAAAATTTAAGATTAAATTAATTGAATACTTGAAGATCTTAATGCAATTAATCTAAAATTATTAAAATTGAATTTCAATTGATTGCTTAGTGATTTGTGGCAAATGCTAAACTACTTGTGTGAAAATTTGTTTAATTGATTCATTTTAATATTAGTTTATATTATAATTTCATTTTCATTTCCATTGTTGATTACCTGAATTTTTTTTTTTTGCAATTAATTGCATGATAAATCTCTATTTCCTTGACTCTCTCATGTATTCATAAAATTCAAACTAATTTTCTTAAGAGAAAAACCTTTGTTGCACCTTACATTTAATTAAACCTAGTTTACTTGATTGATAGTGATTGTGACAATTGCTTGTGAATTGGTGTAATAAGGATATACCAATTACTAAGGATGTTAAAACGGGCCAACCCATCCTACCCTACTAAAAGCTTGTCTAAAAATGAGTTAGCCTAAGCACGTCCTGTTTAGAAAATGGGCCAATTTTTCTAGCTCGACTTGTTTAAGAGTGGGTTGGTAGGCTAATGGGACAACCCACCAAAAACCAAAAAATAAAAAAAAATAGTGGACCATTGAATTAATGAGCTAGGCCATAAAAAATTAATCAAAAAGATAAAAAAAAATTACAATAAATAATAAAAAAAATATTTCACAAATATTTTTTATTAATAAAAATTAATATTTAATTATTTTTATCTTTTAAAAAATAAAATTTGGACAGAATAAGCCACTCCGATCCAACTCGCCATTAGCACACATTTTAGTGGGCTAAAACAGGATGGTTTAGGCGAATCGATGGATCTACAATATTTAGTTTAGCCTACCAATTTTAGTAGGTTAGATAGGCTAACCGTTAAGTCAAGCCCAATTTGTCACATCTACTAGTTACACTTCTATCATGACTCTCACTATTAATTTATGTTTTCATTTGATATTTTGTTACTACAAACAAAATCCGCAAGAAATATATTAGGGCTATATTTTTTTTTTAAAATTATAAAATATATATTAATTAAACCCTCAAAGAAAAACTACTTACAATCTTACATTATTAATAACACTTTTAGATGATCTTTAACTTATGTATATATTTGTATAGATACGAATGTAATATTTCACTTTATGTTGTAAAAAAATTTACTTTTCATATGCTTTGAATTTTACTAACATTATTTTTTTAAACAATCTTTATAAACTTAAGAATACATGTAAAACAATCTTTTAAATTAACTTAAATTTTGAGAGTTTATTTCGACAACCATGAATTAACAGTGTAAATTTAAACTTTTCAAGTATAATAGAATTATTTTTTATATTTTTAAATTTTCATCTATATTTTGAAAGGTGTGCAAGTTTGTGCAAGTCTAATTTAAACTTAGGACAATAAAATCTAGCATTATAATATTTACAAGGTTTGAACTAATTTTTTTTTTATTATGATACTTCATTCTACAAATCAACAACAATATATGATGATAATAACTAAAAGACACACATTTACGTTGTAATTGTTTTTTTGCTTGGTTTCTTCAAATAAAAATTATTCACCTTAGTAATATCATATTAACTCTTTTATATTTTTATAATCGTGAACCTAATAATGTATAATTGAGATAATTAAATGTTTGGTTTTTTTATCCTAAATCATAAGTACTCTAGAAAATAAAATTAATTTTAATAAATTTAATTTTAAATTATTAAATATAATTGAGATACAAATATAACTTAATTTTGATAACATATTTTTATGTTTCATTACAAAATAAAAAGAAACATTTTTTTCTAACATTTAAACAAAGAAATCTACTTAATTTTTTTAATAAATATTAATAATATATTTTTAAGATAAATTTAATTTATTTATTTATTAATTATTTTTTTAATTATTATCTTCAATCAAATTTATAAAAGTTGAGCCTTGTTAATTAATCTCATAATATATTTTTATTAAAAATCACATAAAAATACATTAAAAATTATTAGAGTAGGTGTATTTTATTTTTTTAATAATTTTTTTACTTTTAATTTCTTAACAAGTGTTAACGTTTTCATAGTGTTTTTATCTTCATCAAATATGTTAATTTAGCATCAAAATTATGAAAATAATTTACATCAATATCTAAAATCACATTATACTTCTTTGATAAGAAAATATAATTTTTAATGCATTATTTTAATAAAATTTTATTATCAATCAATTCTTATTACGTGCATTAACATAAAAAAAGAAAGAAAGAAAAGAAAACCACATTATCAATTTATCACTTTACTTAGATAATTTTTTTTTTTTCTGTTTTTTTATCAGTAAAAGAACAAAAGTTGGAGTTTTAGTCTGTTTGATTTCAGGTTCCCAGCGGCCGAGTCAGGTGAGGAAGTCACTGTATTTGCTCTCTCTCTCTCTCTCTTTGTTTCCAGCCGAGACGAGGGTGTCTACTCGCTTGTTCTTGTCTTCTTCACACTCCACACGTATCGCATCGCATCAACCCTCACAATTCCCAAACAGGTTTCTCTCTTAGTCGCTCTCATCTCACTCCAGATCCACCCCCGAACTCTCTTCCTATCCCGATCCCGATCCCCAAACCACAGAAACTAGATGGAGCAACTGAAGACGATAGGGCGTGAACTCGCCATGGGATCCCAAGGAGGCTTCGGTCAATCAAAAGAGTTTCTCGAACTCGTCAAATCCATCGGGGAAGCCCGATCCAAGGCCGAAGAGGACCGCATCGTGCTCCGTGAAATTGAAACCCTCAAACGACGCATCGTCGAACCCGACATCCCAAAACGGAAGATGAAGGAGTACATCATCCGCCTTCTGTACGTTGAGATGCTCGGCCACGACGCATCATTTGGTTACATCCACGCCGTCAAAATGACCCACCACGACAACCTCCTCTCGAAACGCACCGGTTACTTAGCCCTCACTCTCTTCCTCAATGAAGACCACGACCTCATCATCCTCATCGTCAACACCATCCAAAAAGACCTCAAATCTGATAACTACCTCGTCGTTTGTGCCGCTCTTAATGCCGTTTGCAAGCTCATTAACGAGGAAACCATCCCCGCCGTGCTCCCTTCAGTCATCGACCTTCTCTCCCACCCCAAAGACGCCGTTAGGAAAAAAGCCGTTATGGCTCTCTATCGCTTCCACCACAAATCCCCTTCCTCCGTTTCCCATTTACTCTCCAATTTCCGCAAACGGTTGTGTGATAACGACGCTGGCGTCATGGGTGCCACTCTGTACCCTCTCTTTGACCTCATAAACGTTGACCCTAACGCTTATAAGGACCTCGCAGTTAGCTTCGTTAGCATTCTCAAACAGGTCGCCGAACACAGGTTGCCTAAGAGCTATGACTATCACCAGATGCCAGCGCCGTTCATTCAGGTCCGTTATCTGTTGCGATCGCGCCATTTTCGTTTTCTTTCATTTTCATTTTGCTTTGAATTGATTTTCCTTCTGATTTTGACAACTTGTGCAGATTAAGTTGCTCAAAATACTCGCCTTATTGGGGAGTGGTGACAAGCATTCGAGCGAACATATGTATACTGTTATTGGCGATATAATTAGGAAGGGCGATTCGTCTAGTAATATAGGGAATGCTATTCTTTATGAGTGCATATGCTGTGTCTCTTCGATATATCCAAGTGCTAAGTTGTTGGAAGCCGCTGCGGACGTCATTGCGAGGTTTTTGAAGGTTTGTTTTTGGTGTTGGTGGAAGTGAATTGTGTTTAAAGGTTATGTTATGGCATTGGGGTGTTTGGTGTTACATGTGTGTTAATGTTATGCTGGCAGAGTGACAGTCATAATCTCAAGTACATGGGCATTGACGCCCTTGGTCGGCTCATTAAGACAAGTCCGCATATTGCAGAACAGCATCAACTGGCCGTCATTGACTGCTTAGAGGTGAGGATCTTTGTCTTGATTGCTAAGAGTTAAGATGAATTAATTGTTTTGTTTTTGGTCTTATAAAATTATTGTCAGTTCGTTCCCCGTTTAGGTTGATTTTAGCTAGGAGGAGAACAGATTTTTTCTTTGAGTGTGTATGTTATATGGGAAATAATAATGAATATCTCTCTGTTATAAGCATGACGAATAACTATCTGGTGACAGAATTCATCGAGCAAATGCAACGAACATGTGATGTTTCTGTTAGGTGCGGGTATAGTCACTTATGTCATGGTTCTTACATTACTGGAAGAAATCCAGTTTCCAGTAATAAGCATTTGGGATGGTTATATGTAATGTTGACCTTTGTTGGGATATGAGCACTTGTTTGCATTGACATTGAACTTGTGCATTGAACAAAGCTATGAAATTAATTAACTTACATTCTCTGAACATCATTAGGAAATTCTGAGAATATACTAAAAAATTCAGCTAGTGGATAAATTAATGTTTGGAGGATGTGTATGAACATGGTCAGAATGTGAAAACATGCCAATGTCGCATCTTAGAAATACATTTTGAAGAGCTTGGCAACAAACTTAGTAGGACGATAAATTAATACTTGTCAGATGTGTCTCTACCTGGATTGTCTGATGAGAATCATCCTAATTATAATGTGTTAAATGTATAAAAAATATGGCTGAATGACCTGCCTGTCATGTTTCTAGTTTTCATTCAATATATAGATTAATATACAAATAATAAGACTAATATTTAGGCTAAATTAAAGGGATATGCTTATTTCTAGGTAGGCTAATTCCTAAACTGATATGTAAGGATTACAACTAATCTATCTAGCATTTACACCTATTTAAAGTATATAAAAATAATCTGTACACATAAATGATAATTATATACAATAACATCCCCCTCAAATTGATGCTGGTTGATCAAGAAGCATCAATTTGCTAACAAGAAATTGATGACGTTGTCTTGTGAGAGACTTGGTTAAAACATCTACTATTTGTAAACTTGTGGAAACATGAGGAAGAGAAATGATTTGAGTGTCTACAGCTTCCCAAATATAATGACAATCCACTTCAATGTGCTTTGTGCGCTCATGGTAAATTGGATTAGCAGCAAGTTGAATGGCACTTGTTCAGCATGAAGAGGAGTGGGTTCAGCTTGAGGAAAACCAAGTTCGGTCAACAATCCTCGAAGCCAAGTGATTTTCGAGCATGCAGCAGACATTGCACGATATTCAGATTCAATAGATGATTTGGAGACACGATCTTGCTTCTTACTTTTCCAAGATATCAAGGAGTCTCCAAGAAACATGCACCAACCAGTAGTAGAGCGATGAGTATTGGGACAACTGGCCCAATCAGCATTGCTAAAAGCAATAAGTCGTAGGGGAGACCCAGTGGAAAAAAATAGACCACGAGAATTAGAACCTCGTAGATATCTAATGATGCGACGAACAGCAACCAAATGCAAATGTCTTGTAGAATGCATAAATTGACTAACTTGTTGTACAGCAAAGGAGATATCAGGCCTAGTAATAGTAATTCAAGCTGCCTACTAATTGTCGATACAATAAAGGATCAGGAAGGAGATCTCCCTCGTCAGCATGGTACTTAACATTTACCTCTAGAGGAGTATCAACAGATGAAGAATCTTGAAGACCAGCCAAAGAAATCAAATCCTGAGTGTATTTATGCTGGTGTAAGAATATGCTAGATGGACTAGTGTGAACTTCCAGCCCCAAAAAATAAGTAAGATTGCCAAGATTCTTCATATGAAAGGAATCGTGAAGATGTTGCTGAAGTTGTGTAATCAATAAAGGATCTGTCCCAATGATAACAATATCATCTACATATACTAGAAGTAGAATAATTCCACTAGAAGTCTTATGAAGGAACAAGGAGTCATATGGGCTTTGCACAAGCTGAAACTTTAGCAATGTGGAGCGAAACTTTTGAAACCATGCTCGCGGTGCTTGTTTTAAGACATAAAGAGAGCGATTCAACTTACAAACCTCCTTAGTAGAAGAGGAAAACATACCAGGAGGTGGCTTCATGTATATATCTTCTTTGAAATCACCATGGAGAAAAGCATTTTTGACATCTAGTTGATAGAGGCCATCCTTGTGAGGCAGCAATGGCAATAATGGTGCGAACAGTAGTCATTTTTGCCACAGGAGCAAATGTCAACCCCATACTCTTGTCAATTTCCAAGAGCAACCAACCTAGCTTTATAGCAATCCAGAGTCCCATCGGAACGAAGTTTGACTGAGTAAACCCATTTACACCCAATGGGCTTAATATGAGGTGGACACTGAACAATGTCCCAAGTTTGATTTTCTTGAAGAGCACGAAGTTCCTCTTGCATTGCTCGCTGCCAACACTCATTAGAAGCTGTCTGTGAGTAAGAAGATGGAATTGAAATAGAAGTCCAAGCAGCAGTATATGATGTATGATAAGAACTGTACTTATCCAGAGGACGAGAAACTCGGTCGGATCATCTCAAAACTAGTGGAGCAGCAGTAGATTGCAGGTCTTGATCAGAAGGGGACAGTGATGAAGGAGGACGTCGTGTGTACACCAATCCAGGCTTGAATCGATTTATATGAGATATCATGTCATCAAAATTCGGAAGAGTAATAAACTCAGGTGATGAATGAACATGAGTTGGGAAGAAAAATTGATTTTCAAAGAAAACAACATTTCGAGAAACGCGTAGTTTTTTTGAATTAGGATCATAGTAAACAAAATCTTTGTGATTAGCACTATATCCCATAAATGCACATTTAACAGATTGAGCAGAAAGCTTATGACGTTCGTGAGGTGGCAAATGAACAAAACAAACACAACCAAAAGTATGCAGATGTTGGTAGGACGGATGACTATGATAAAGACGAAAATATGCTGTGTCAAAATTCAATGTTTGGGAGGGTAAATGATTAATGAGATAAACTGCAGTAGATAAAGCTTCTACCCAAAAACTATGTGGAATAGAAGATTCAAGCAACAAAGTACGAACCACATTTAAGAGATGACAATTTTTCTGTTCCGCCACTCCATTCTGCTGGGGTGTGTATGGACAAGAACGTTGAGAGAGAATACCTTTTTTATTCAAAAAATCATGTAGTGCATTAGACATGTACTCGCCACCAGAATCAGATCGAAGTACCTTAATAACTGTAGAGAATTGAGTGTCAATATATGTAAGAAAAGTCTGAAAAATAGAGAGAAACTCAGATTTAGAGCGAATAAATCCAAGTAAACCGGCTGTAGTCATCAATAAATGTCACAAAATATTTATAGTTGGCATGAGAAATAACAGGTGTTATCCCCCATACATCACTATGAATAATATCAAAACAATGTTCTGCACGACTACCAATTATTGGAAACGGAAGTATTTTACTTTTTCCCAGTTTACATGTAGAACAATCAAAAGACACGGGTTTAGTGTTTCTCAAACAACCAGAATTCAACGAACGAGACAAAATGACAAAATTGGGATGTCCCAACCGCCTATGCCATACTTCACTTTTATTAACACGAGTAGAAAATGCCATATGATAAGGAATAGAAAATTGCATAGGAAACAAACGTCCAACTTTAGGTCCCTTCGCGATCACTGTCCCCGACACCAGATCCTGCACACAACATCCATCAAGAGAAAAATGTACATCACAATTATTTTCCACTAATTATCCAACTGAAATGAGATTATTAGAAAGTTCAGGGGATACAAAGGCATTGTTCAAAATTGGAGTGATATCTCCAACAGCAGTAATGAGTATAGTGTGTCCATTAGCGACCTGGATTTGTTTGGAACCATTGTATGGGCGAACATTTTGCAGATAATTTTCTGAGCTAATCATATGGTTTGAGGCTGCAGAATCAATAAGTCAAGAATTAGATGATGATTTTCGATTACCTTGAAGCCCCAAAGCAGAGAAAGCAGAAATAATCATTTGTTGCACCATGTCAGCAGTAAGAACGGTGGTTTCAGCACTATTATTGATTACAGAAGGAGGTGAGGTTCTATTTGTAATTTGACCAGAAGATGAATTTCCTATAGTGGCTTGGTAGGCAATAGGCTGGCGATTTTGAGACCGAATTGAACACTTTTTGAGAATGTGTCCTGGCTTTTTGCAATAATTGTAGAATTTTTTGGTACATTGTGTAGCAATGTGACCATAATTCTTACAACTATAACATTGAACTTTACTCATATCCCTACCTTTATCTCTTCTTTGAGCCAAAAAGGCTAGAGGTGCAGCAGTCAACTTGTCTTGATCAAAAGAGGCTTGAGTAAAGAGACGTTGTTCTTCACGAATCAACTCACTAAAGCAATCATCCAAGGTAGGAGAAGGATGACGATTCATCAAATGAGAACTAATATTCTCAAAATCCGGTCGAAGCTTCATCAGAAACTTATCACGTTTGCTAACTTCATGAACAGCCAATATATCAGAAAGAGAAGTTGTGGAAACAGTAGCACAAACAATATCAGAAAATTCAGCCCATAAATTTTGAAATCCAGAAAAATATTCCTGAATAGACAAGTTTCCTTGAGAGTAGTTAGCAATTTCGCACTCCAACTGAAATCTTCTAGCTGAATTTGTTTGATTATAAACCTTCTTCAAGTAGTCCCACATCGTTTTGGCAGTTTTGTGTGAATGTAAATGAAAAACAATCTGAAGATCACATGACATTATAAGCCATGACATAACCCGAGCACCCTTAAATTTTCATTGAGCCAACTCTGTAGCATCTGTGGGGGCTGGGACAGTGCCATCTATATGTCCCCATAACTCCTTCCCAGTAACAAATAATTGAAATTGAAATTCCCAAGTTGCATAATTTTTTCCAGTAAATTTGACACAAAATTCAGGTGTATTACCAGCTATTACAAAGTAATGAATGAAAAAAAAAAATACCTTGACAAACAAGAAAACCCCTAAGAGAATAAAGAACAAGAAAACCAAGGCTCAGAAAAAAAAGACACGAACACCCCACCCAAAATTTAGGCTCTTGATACCATATCAAAAATATGGCTGAATGACTTGCCTGTCATGTTTCTAGTTTCCATTCAATATATAGATCAATATACAAACAATAAGACTGATATTTAAGCTAAATTAAAGGGATATGCTTATTTCTAGGTAGGCTAATTCCTAAACTGATATGTAAGGATTACAACTAATTAATCTAACATTTACACCTATTTAAAATATATAAAAACAATCTGTACACATAAATGATAATTATATACAATAACAAAATGGATCCACCTTGTGTTTAATTATTAACTGAATATCCCTTTATCTACCTATTTATCTATTCTATTCTGCAAATGGTTAAACAGTTAAACATGGTGTTTTCTTACTCACCAGTACCACCTATGTGTGAACTCAACCAGATTTTGTTTGATTGGGTTTGTGAAACTTCGCAACTGTATCTTGCTTCTGAGAACTAGTGATCAATCTGTTAGAGACAAGTTTCCCGAAGGCTTGAAAGCTTACAAGCGGCAAGACTATAGGAGAGGAATTAGGAAATAGGTTGTTATGTTCTGTTTTGAGTAGTTTAGGATTTATCTTATTTCCTATTGTTATTATTTTCTGTTACCTTTTGTTATTTTCTGTTACAGTAGTTAGGAGCATGATTTTAGGAAACATAACAGTTTAAATAAGGGGATTACAGAGGGGAATGGGCATCTTGGAAATGATTTCAGACTTACGGTGTTGAGCCACTTGAGAGCTCACTTTCCATTGCTGTAAATTCTGCTCAACTGAGCCAATTCAATACATAATTTAAATTTCAGAATCCTTATCACAATCTCAACTGGTTCTTAGAACGCCCCCCCGCTTCACACACACACTTCTGTTAGGTTTTGGAGTAATATTTCAATATTTTAAGCTCACCCCAATATTTGCAATTAAAACTAAAATTCAATTTGTTTGGTGCAGGACCCTGATGATACTCTGAAGCGAAAAACTTTTGAACTACTTTACAAAATGACAAAGTCTTCCAATGTGGAAGTGATTGTTGACCGTATGATTGATTACATGATTAGCATAATTGATGATCATTATAAAACTGATATAGCATCTCGATGTGTAGAACTTGCTGAGCAATTTGCACCAAGTAATCATTGGTTTATACAGGTAATTGGATATATGCTCTTGATTTTGCCATATTTATTTTTGACATTCATTGATTACCGATAATGCCTTGTTCTTCAATTACACAGACCATGAATAAAGTTTTTGAGCATGCTGGAGATCTTGTGAATATTAAGGTTGCACATAATTTAATGCGATTGATTGGTGAAGGATTTGGAGAGGACGATGATGCTGCAGATAGTCAGTTGAGATCATCTGCGGTGTGTTATTTTGATAATTGCACAAGTTTATTTATTATATGTCCACTACTGAATTGTTCTTGTGCATAAATATGTTATTGAGCAGAAGCTGTTTTCTGAGATGTAGGTTGAGTCATATTTGCGCATCATTGGGGAGCCAAAGCTTCCATCAGTGTTTCTTCAAGTACTTTCTATCCTTCTTAGGTTTTATGTTTCCTCACTTTGTTCTACTTTTCAAGAAGTCAGATCTGTCTTGTAGCATAATGTGTAGTACTGATTTCAGGTAATATGTTGGGTTCTGGGGGAATATGGCACAGCTGATGGAAAGTATTCTGCTTCATATGTCACTGGGAAGTTATGTGACATTGCAGAGGCATATTCAAATGATGAAACTGTTAAGGTATTTATCTAATGCCAACCAATTATTTTGTTTTATACTAGTGAAATCTTACTTTGTACTGATAAGGAGAATATGTAAAAGTTAATATGTCCTTTCTATTGAGAGATTTAGAATATAAGTTGATAATTTTTATCTGTTTTGTGGTTGCTCTCATTGATATCAATATCAAAGTATCATGCTATCAATTTGAAATTAGGCATAATGGGACTAATTATGTTTGAGGCATAATTTAACTTTCCATTCTAGCTGAAAGCTTCATCGCAGTTCTGTTTAGAAGTTTTCATCAGGATTGTTAATATTTTGCTCATGCCTTAACCCCATCCCTTGGCTGGACCTTTTCTGTTTCTCTTCAACTAATACATTCTCAAGAATCAGGTATATATTTATTTAACAATAAAAATAAATGCCATGACAGGCATTATCCCCTCTCTGATAGAGTTGGGTGAGCATGTAATAAGCTATATTGATAGGTAGATCCTAACTATTTCAGTTAGGGAAGAAAGAAGAGAACTATAAAAGAGGGGAGGATTTTATTACTTTGGCATACTTTTATACATGAGTATGGTCCTCTATTTATGCTAGTGGTAGAATTATCTCAAATAACTGTCACATTGTAATACTAAATGCTTAGTGGTGAAAAGTCAATAATTATAGTCCTTAACGAATTATGACCTTTAACTCACATTAATTCACAGCCCTTCATTTTTGTAACTCATACAACTATTTATTTATTATTTTTAACCCCTTTAGTTAGCAAATTCTAAAAAACTTCATTTATATACCAAGTCTTGTTCTCAGTCTTCAAAAATCTTTCAATTTGAAGGGCTTCGTGAAAATACCAGCGACACAGTTTTGACTTGAGTCTTCGTATAAAGAAAAAATATGTTAAGACACAAGACCATATTGCAAATATTTTACTAATCTTTTAGAATTTTTTAAGGAGGGATGTTAAAAATAATAATTGAAAAATAAAAGGTTGCATGAGTTACAAAAATGAATGATTTTAAGTTAGTGAATTAAGAGTTATAATTCCCTAGTTAAGGGTTGTAATTCCTGGTTTGTAACCACTAGGATTTTAGTATTTATAATGGGATAATTATTTGAGATAGGTTAATGGTCACTCTACTGATAGTATAAATAGACGACCATACCCATATATTAAGTGTCAAAGTAATAAATTCCTCCTCTTCAACATTGGTTATATGCTCCAATAATAATGACCATAATTGTGATAATTGAAACATTCAATATAAGATTTATCATCATTCATTTCATTTGTCTTATCATAATAATCTCTACCTCTTCCTCTTGTACAACCTCTAGTGAATTGATGGCTCTTCAGTATTGTCAAAATTATCACGATCTACTAATCTTCCTTTCTTTGGCCATGACCACATCCTCTTCTTTGACTTACTTTTCCTCTAAATTTCGTTCAAAGAGGCTTTTACTTAAAGGACATGTTCTAAAAGCTTTTCTTGTCTTTTCATCTTCTTTGACCTCCAATTACTTCTCATAAGCTTGAATTAAACCCATCAATTAGTCCATGGAAATTGAGTCTGAATTCTTTGACTTTTCAATAACACAAACCACATGATCAAATTTGTGTTAAAGAGTGAAGATTTTTTTCTACTATATGAACATCTTGTACTTTTTCTTCATATCACTTTAATTGATTTACATCAACCATCACCTTATTGTCAAATTTGAAATGGACCTATAGTCATTCATATTCAAAGTTTCAAACTCGACAAACAGAGTTTAGGATGCACCTTCTTAACCTTGTTAACACTTTTAAGGTCGGCCTTCAAAATTTTCCAAGGTTCTTTGTAAGTGGTTTTGATAAATACCTACTCAAACATGCTTTATCTATGCCTTGATTTGATGGATAAAGGAAAATGCTTGATCCTTCTTCTTTAACTTTGTTGAACCACCTCATTTTGTGGCAAAGTAGCCTCATCTGTGTTAAGTATTGGTTTTCTCTACAACCTGCTAAACATCTTGACAACCTATCAAGGTCTTCATGCATTTAAACCAATTATCGTAACAAAATTGAAACATATTTAAGTCATTACTTATTATCTCTCGACACTCTCGATTGAACTCATGTTCTTGATACCACTTTGTTAGAGGGAAAAAACTATAGAAAAGAGAAGGATTTTATTGTTTTGGCACTCTTGATACATGAGTTTTGTTCTCTATATTAGTGGTAGAGTGATTTTGTTAGTTAACCCCCATTAGCAATTAGTTAAAATAAATTACTTAGTTACCCATTAGTTAGTTGCATTATTGAGTTTGTTTGGATAAGGCATTTTGCCTATAAATAAGAGTGGAGATTAGAGAGGAATACCATGTGACAGAAAATTAGGACCTTTTGTCATTGGGAGGTGCAGACCCGCGAAGTTCTGCAGTGTGTATTATAGAGTTCTTTCCCTGTTTTCCAATAAAGATACTAAGTTTTTATCAGATTCTTAACTTATCTCAAATAATGGCCCCATTATAATGCAAATTACAAATCATATCCTCCTTAACTCACTCTAACTTACAACCTTTTATCTGTAATTATTATTTCTAAAAGTTTAATTGCTATATTGATCTCATTGGAGGGATTCCAGTTGCTCTATTTCTATGCAAATGCGTAGAACAATAAATTACTTGGTCTATTTTATGAGGTATCTTGAACTAAATTACACAAACTAATAAAGGTATTTAAAGTTGATTTCTTTTCTTGAGGTTTTAAAATCATACAACATGCCAATTGTATCCATTATTATTAGTATTGCATAAATTGTGATTGATTCACGCAATTTAGTATGATATAGAGCAGCAGCAATACAAATTGTGCTATGTATCATTTTTGTTCCTGAACTACACCATGAATTGTGTGTATCGCATATGAATCAGATGAATCACACCATGAAATTGCAGTTCTGTGGCTAAATTGTGTGATTCTGACATTCTGTCCAAACATGTGATGTCTCCTTGCTTCTGTTCCAGCAGTCTATTTTGTCGCTTATTCTACTCTCTCTTCCACTATTGGTGCAGTTCAGTGGTCCCTTCTTTCTGCTGACTCCAAAATGCTAATACACCTGTTTTAGATGTTTCTTTATGTTAAAATGCTCCTAATAAATTTCTGTTTAGCATGGATTTATGCTTTTATTTGTTTTTGTTAGCTATTTATGCTATTTTTGATTCATGATAAGGTTTGATTTGAAATTCAGAAAGTAGGCCTTCCGATTCACTATTTGAATACTGATTTGATAACCTTCATTTAATACCATTAAACTTAATCCTATTATCAATATTTTAATTTGAAAATTGTTCTCCTTCCTTTGCTATTCTTAATTTCTGGTTCCTACCATTTCCATTCATTACAGATAAGTAGTAGAAAAAATGTGTCATATGAATTGTAAAATGCCATTTATTAAGGATAAGGACCACGATAACCATCTTGATGGTGTCTTATGAAAAAGACCACAGGTGTATAATTCTTTTGTAATGAAATCTGATTGTTGTAATGGTATTCTACATTGAGGAATGCTAATAATACTCTTAACTGTCCTTTTAAGACATGCTGTAATATTGTTTTATTATCTTAATCCTTAGAAAATGACCTATTTATGAGGTAAATACTTTGACTCTCTAGAGATTGAACCAATGATAAAGAGTATGTTGTTAACATTCTTTTTACCTCGTTTCTGATAGACTAGTACTAAGAATTGAGGTAAAAGGTGATTATTATTCAAGAAAGATTGAGGTTCTGGCAAGAAACTCTATTTATTGCATAAGTAGAACACAGACAAATGATCTCCCTAGTCCAGTGCAGTTCCAGAGGCACTATTTCTTTCCTGACATTCCAATAATTCTCTCCTCCCCTCTACATATTGGGACCAATACATTTTATAGGCCCCTCATCTAACTAAAACATTTGGGTTGGGCCCATTATTAACAGGCCCATTTTGCCTAATCCGCCTAGTATAGACCCTTTTGTTATGGGTTTGTCTACATTATTGCTATCTATTTCCCATTTGTATTCTTGATTTTTAGTTAAGGGGGCGATGAGATGTGTTGCAGATTAGGAATCTATCATAGTATGACTTATCCTTATTCTTGCAATAATTTTTGTTTGGTTGTTGAATGCCGATGATACATTTTCTGCATGACTTTTGCTAGATCATTCAATTATTAATGTTTATCTTGTTAGTTTTGTGACCTCTTTTTAATCCTCTATCCTGCTCTAATATATCAATTTCTTAAATCTTCCTGCTTAAACAAGTTTAAATTGGGACTAACTAGTTCGTTTATATGAAGGCATATGCGATTTCAGCATTGACAAAAATTTATGCATTTGAAATAGCAGCTGGGAGGAAAGTAGATATGCTACCTGAGGTAATTGCTGAGAAAAATTATTTTAAGTTTGGATCTCTTCCTGTGATGGACGTGGTTGTTGAAATATTGAGCATAATCTAGCCTTTGACTATACTTCTCCTATGTCCATGTTAACCCATTGTTGTCATCACACAAACAAACTGCACTCCAGTGATTTTGCATTTTAAGAGTTTGTCTAACTTTAAAAATGCTGGCATTTGCTTGAATCATGTTATCTACACAGTTATTTTGATACCTGAAGTTTTAAAGTTTTGTTTAGTTAATTTAACTGAATAGAGTTACACTGAGAATATGATGATTAATAGCATGTTTGGTTTTGACTACTTTTGGAAGAAATTTTTTTTTTTCTTAAAGACTCCAACTAGGAGTCTGATTATAACCTGTTTTACACACAAATCATATAATCTAAATACACAATGTCTTATGAATTACTTGGAAATGCTTCTTTCTTGAGTTATTTGTGTTTATGAATTCCAGCCATGCTTTTCTGTAAAAGGTTATTTCCATAAGATCCTCAACTAACTGTTTTGTTAGGCTGTTAGGGAAAAGATCCTGCTTTCTTTGACTGAAATTTGACTGAGTGTGTGCTGCCAATATGGGTAACTTCTTCATGTTCATGTGCAGTGTCAATCTTTGGTCGAAGAATTATTAGCATCCCACTCCACTGATTTGCAGCAACGTGCTTATGAATTGCAAGCCCTTATTGGTTTGGATGCACAAGCTGTTGAAACAATAATGCCCCAAGATGCAAGTTGCGAAGACATTGAGGTAATTGTAAATTTTTGTATATTGTTATATTATTTTAAGATTATAATAATTTTTCTAGCTAAGAGGTGAAAATTGGAAACCATACTATACCTCAAGTTACAAAGATTAAGTACCCTATGTGCATCATACAAAATAACGGACAAATAGAGGGACATGCAAATCATAGGGTTCAAACAAAGTTGATGAAATGGAAGAGTGCTTAATTTTATCCTAATGCACAATAAGGCCTATAATGTTATGGCAATAAATGTTGGGGAATAGAAAGTTAACAAGATATTAAACTCAACGTACCAGAAACTGAACATACTAAACAAGATCTGATCAGCTGATTAGGAACAGTTTTGTTAAGTTAGCTCAATGTGTTGGTGCAGGAGAGACAATCATTAATAATTGTTGGTTACACTTCTAATAGAATGGGCAGAGTAGGTTATAAATAGATTGGCAGAGAACACTAGGGGTATTCCGTTTACAGTGTAAGTTGGTTTTCAGGATAGATCTCAAACTTTGGAAATATTGAGTTGTATTCTTTTTTTGTCAAATAATTCTTGGGGAACTACACCACTAAAGCTAGCCATTGTAGTTGGAGAGTCCAAAGTGTTATAAATCCTACAATAGAATCTCATGCTTCCTATGTAGGATTCAAGAATATCCTACCATGCTTTGCAACCTTGGCTCCCACACGGGCTGGCTGTGCACTAGCACTGCAATGCTGGCATCACCACCCGCACCTCTTGATTGCAGATGAGAGTTGGAAGGCTCTAATGCAAATTGATAAGAACCTTGGGAGAACCACACCACAAAAACTAGTCATTTTAGTTGGAGAGCCCAACGTCTCATAAACCCCACAATAAAATCCCATACTTCCAATATAAAACTCAAGTTCCATACCTTGCAATTGAGATCTTAACAGAAACCATTAAGAAGGATCAAACGACAATAGGAGAAACTGTCAAGAATTTAAAGGTCAATAGGAGAAACCAATGTTTGTCTATAAAGATTTATGAGAGTACTAGCATGATGCGATCCATGAACCAAATTCTGCCTAGCTGGGACAATAGTTGATTGTTGCTGTTGTATTATATAATATTCTTCTCATGTTCATGTATAATGCTTTGCACACTTTTTTTCTATTTAGTGCATGGAAAATGTATAGTCAAGAAAGGTCTCTTTAAGAAATCATATATCTGCATCCAATGGATATTCTGACAACATCCTATGCTTTTAGATAAAGTTATTCGTGCTCCTCATCACTTAATAATGATCCCTATCATAATTAGCTGCTGTAGTGCATAAGACCTGTGTTATTCATGGTGGATGGTTGTTCATGGCAGCAAGCCAATAACATGTTATATTCTGAAGTTATACTCCTTGTGTTAATTATTTTTATGTAAGTTGGGAAAAGAAAAACATTCAGATTACTTAAAGCTGTCAAATGAGCCAACCCTAGCTAATTTAATTCTAACCCATGTGCGCTAGGGCCAAAAAGCCCACCATGTGAAAAACTCGTAGCGTTAAGTTGCCTAGAGCAAACCCATGAGCAAACTATTTTTAAAAAAATTATAATCTATTAAAAACATTTATTTTATATAATATTTTTAACTATAAACTTATAGACAAATAAATTTGCTTAAAAAATAAATGAAAAAATAATTAAATTTGTATAATATTAAATATTTTGAATGAATTATTGATATTAAATAAAATATAATAATTTATTATCAAATAAAGTTACATATTTATCTAATTTTTAATGTATTATTGATAATTATTAAATCATAGTAACATTTTTTATTCATATAATTTTATAAATAATTTCTTAGCACATTATTTTATAATTTTATTTGAGTAATAATCAGAAAAAATTTCACATTTTAATATTTTATTATTTTTTAATAAAATTATTTTATAAATATCACATCTTCAATAAATATTTTTAAAGTTATAATAGAGATGCAAAGTTGACAACGAAAAGCAACGTTAACTAAATTTCTTAAGTCATCTATTATCAAAGTGCTTGAAATGATTTATTTAAATAAAATTTAAGGTGTTAAAAAAAATTAAATGCAACATTGTCATCATAAAAATTGTAGACATATAATATTTAATATTACAAAATTCATGAATGCAAATAAAGAATTTAACAAAAATTAATAAATGTTTGTAAATTTAAATTTTATCTCATCTTAATTTAATAGAATTTATTTTTAAAGTGAAATAATTTAATTTGATAGAATTTTTTATTTTTGAATATATTTTTTATATTTAAAATATATATTAATGAATTTTAAATAAAATAATTTAATAAAAATGATAAACAAACATATGTCTTTTAATAAAAAAATAAATAAATAGCATAATAATAATTATTTTTTTTTAAAAAATGGTGGGCTAACTCCCCTCTAACTTTGACATTAACTCACTTTTTTTTATATATTGGGGCTTAAGGCCAAAATAAGTCTACTTTGCAAGTATAGAGCTTTAAAAAATGGGCTTATGTAGTGGGTTATGTGGGGTGGGTTTTGGGCTACAGCACCGAATTGACAGCTCTAATTAAAATTATTTACAAAACTTATAATTGATGTATTACATCAAGCAATGCATTCCCCATCTGAAAGTCAAGGGGAAGTATGAAGTTTATCACTGATCAGACTGATAAGACACGGTGTTTATGTATGATTTACTGATACATTGAAATGTATGCCCAAATATAAGATGGTAATCTAAAACTAGAACTCGTTTGTCATTGTAAATCTCTTGGTGAAAAGATGCATCAGGGTCTTGGGAGATTGTCTACATCTTAACTGTTTTGTAGTTGCTTTGCCAAGTGTGTTTTTCTTCCTGTAGTCAAATACTATTGCTATTACTACCTTAATTCAAATTTCAGATTGCGGAATCTATTCTGCTCAGATCTTTTTCCTTCTTGGTTGTTATTAAGAATTTGTTGGTAATAAACCTCAATTAATTTGTCTTTCCATGAAACATATTTTTTGACCATTCAGTTGTCAACATAATAAATTTGTAATGTACAACAACAGCCAAGTCTTATTCCACTAGGTGAGGTTGGCTACATGGATCACACTACATCAATTAACTAGGTCAAAAATAAAATTTTTAGAAATATTATTAATCAAAGGATCTCTTTTAAATTTGTAATGTAAACTTGTCTTTTTTCACAAAATGTAATTTAATGGGTTTTGGACAATACATATCACCAAGTGATCTTGTTTTTCTGATCTAAGACTAAGATTATTGACATGTTGAATCTTTTATGCAGGTTGATAAGAATCTTTCTTTTCTAAATAGTTATGTCCAGCAGTCTCTAGAAAGGGGCGCTCTGCCCTATATTCCAGAGGATGAGCGCACTGGAATGGTGAATGTGAGCAACTTCAAAAGCCAGGATCAACATGAATCTGCACAACATGGTCTAAGATTTGAGGCATATGAGCTTCCAAAGCCTCCAATGCCATCAAAAGTTGCTTCAGTTTCACTTTCATCCTCAACAGACCTTGTTCCTGTATCTGAGGCATTGTATTCTCGGGAGACTCACCAGATCTCATCAGTGGGATCATCTTCAGACACAGGATCTTCAGAGCTTAAGCTAAAGCTTGATGGCGTTCAAAAGAAATGGGGTAGGCCAACTTATTCATCTCCGACATCTTCCTCAAATTATACTTCCCAAAACCCTGTGAATGGGGTGACTCAAGTGGATGTTACAACTTCTGTAAATTCAAAAGCACGTGATAACTATGATTCAAGAAAGCAAAAGATTGAAATTCCTCCTGAAAGGCAGAAACTTGCTGCTTCATTGTTTGGTGGATCAACTAAAGTTGAGAAAAGATCTTCAACCAGCAATAAGGTTCCTAAGGCTGGTGCTAGTCCTGCAGACAGAACTCAAGAATCAAAAGCTGCAGTTGTACCTAGTGAAGTAGCTCAGGAGAAAACTAATCAACAATCTCCTCCTCCAGATTTGCTTGACTTGGGTGAACCAACTGTCACTGCTGTACCTCCCTCTGAGGACCCATTCAAGCAATTGGAAGGGCTTCTTGACCCAAGCACTAGTTCTACTACAAATCATAGTGGTGGTGCTGTTACAAATGCACCGGATATTATGTCACTCTATGCAGATCCTGCTGCAAGTAGACAGAGTAGCAGTGGTGGCTATTCTATCGCTGTGGGTGGGGATAATGCAAATCTTTCATCAGAGTTGTCAAACGCTGCTGACAGAGGTACTACTGGAGAAACGATTGTGACTCCTTTGTCACAATCTGTAAAGGGTCCAAATGCTAAAGATTCTTTGGAAAAGGATGCAAAAGTGAGGCAGATGGGCGTTACACCCTCGAGTCAGAACCCCAACTTGTTCAGCGACTTGCTTGGCTAATCCGATTATGCTTGAGGATAGATTATGTTGTGACTTACTGCTCATGGAGTATCCAGAACCAGTTGGCTATCATATGATATATGAAAAAATTGAATAATATGAATTATGATCAGGCATGGATGACTGCAGCCACCCAGAATGGGGTGATTACATAACCAGAAATGTCTAAGCCAGGTAAAGAAATTTTCTACTCGCAGAATAGCTTTTGTAACAATTGAATGCATGAGGCTTTCCCCGTTGCATCCGGGTTTTGGTCCACACTAGATTCTAAAGGAAAGGTACCGTTGTGCTCGATCATTGCATTTAATACTTTCATTGGAAGTGCCAGGTCATCTTTGTTGTTATACCAAAGTTGTATTTTTTGTCACAATTTTGTGGATTTTACGTCTCTGTCAATATAACGGTTTTTCCAACGTTGAGATGCTTGATAATGCGGTCTAAATCAGTTTGATGTACGGCATTTGTACACGTGAAAATTTGTGATTAATGAGGGTAAGGTTATCTATTGCTTTGTAGAAAGACCAATGTGTCCATCCATGATGGGCCGTGTCTTTTTCTTCTGTTCTCAAGTCTCTCACACACATACTGATTCGATTAGATTATTTAAATTTAAATTTTTTTTACATATACGTGATTCAATGATTGGATTTTTTAAATTTATAAAGGGTATTAAAGGTCTCATTTTTAAATTGACGCAGTGACGATAAAAATTTGATGGATGTTAGCTACAGATAATGTATGTCATAGGTGATTGGCAAGTGCATTATTTGTTACCCTGTATTGAAGTCAGTAGAGTCTTGTCCGAAAGAATCGGATTTCAAATATGAAAAGTAATCTTTAATTTTGCAAACAGTTATTTATCTTTTATATTTCACTGTTAATTTTGTATTATAAAATTTAAAAGTGAATGTCATTTTACAAATTCGAGATTGACAAAGGATTTTTAAAATTTTAGGAATGAAAATGCTTAATTCGTTATTTGGACTAATTTAAAGGTTCATTTAATATAATGTGCATTAACTCAAAGAAATTAGCAAGATAAGGAAGAAATAATGGATTTATAGTCGGGTGAGAATCTCCTAATTCTCATTTTGATATAATTTAATTCAAATCGCAATGTAATCTGTTTCATTTAATTGAAAGCGAATTTCATAATTAACATATATTCTTAGGACATATAACAATTACGATGAGTAATCTAATATAACTAAGAGCCCACATTCTAATGCTCAGGTTAGTATTTGCTTACATGGAATAGGTTCAGAGAGTAACAATAGGGAATAGGTTCACAGACACCATTAAGTGGAATATTATTGGTTATACAATGTATAGGTGGAGGTGATGAATAATGATGGTACGAAAGCGAGCTTACATGGTGTGCAAGCGTTGCATAATTGAGAAAGATTTTAGTCTTCTTGTTATTGTAGGTGTGATCAATTTATGATCTTGTGGTAAGCGTGTATGAAATACCAAATGTATATGCATGATTGCTAATTAGGCCACGAATTATGAGTTATACCAATATTGGTGTGACTCCATGAAACAACCTTGAGAATTGGACCCAACTAGGCTATCCCATATCATATACTTTATGATCTGATTTACTCACCAATGTATCATTTTATTAAAATTTAAACAATATTTTGATTTAGCAAATGAATTTAACATCAATTACAAAGTAGTTGATAAAAAAAATTAAGAATTATTATTTCTTGTTTTCCCCTTATGTAACCAAAAGGAAAAATAAAATAAAATTAAGAATAAGAACAACCACTCAATTAAAAGATAATATAAAATTGATAATGTTTCTCGTAAATAAATTTAAATTGACAATGTTTCTTTGCTAACCAATGAATTTACTTACACAGGTTGAATAAATGAAAATGATAAGAGATTAAGAAAAAATGAAATCCATATTTTGCAGGAGAGAGAAGTTTTTGTAACAAAAAATAATCAATTTTAACTTTAAAACATCAATTTATATATTATTATTGTGAAGTTTAGATGCTTCTTTCATTCTAAAGTATCTTTATTATTTCTTGAGCAACAAGAGATTTTAGTTTTTAAAATTATTATCCGTTAAACATTTTAGTCCCTAATTCTTAAAACCTTTTATCTACTTATCTTTCTTCTTCATTCTTATCATCTTTAAAAACTACCACTAATGGGCCACCTTCAATGTCTACATTATTTGTTTGTACTTTTCTAAACTTCTCACCAATATAATGTAGTTACCAATTAGGATCTTGGCATGTTAATGTAGGAAACTCCAATAGAAAGGAAAAACTTGACTTTAGGCAATCACCTTTGGCAAGTCCAAGTGTAGGCCCAAGTGAAGGGGAGAAGGAGGTGAGCGTGTAAGAGTTTTAGGGACTCAAGGGTTTGAAGTACTTAGCATAAGCCTTAAGAGGAGCACCTATACAACCATTGATAACAATCCCCCACTACCACCCAAATCAACATTAGCCCATCATGGAAGTGCTTAACATATCCCAAGACAAACATATAAAACAAAGACCTTGATACATGTTATGATTTTAACAATAACTCATCTTTAATCTTTTAAATCCATGGCTCTCATGTACAATAACTAGTCACTTACAAAGTAAAGGAAAAACTTCTACTTCTTATATTTGACATTGGTGATATAAAGTATCAACTATCAATCAAAAGCCTTGAAATTTAACTTGTGTTAGAAAATTTTATGTGTGTTGAAGGTGGCTATTAATGGTAATTTTCGATAATGGTAAGAATGAAGAAGAAGAATGATTGATAGATGAAAGATTTTAATAATCAAGAACTAAAATACTTTAACAAATGATAATCTTAGAGATTAAAATATTTGTCAGTGACAATATCAAGGATTAAAATAAAATAAACACATATTATACTATATACGATGTTATTTTTGTCATGCAATCAATTACACATGCCACTTAACGTAACATCCTCATTTTTTCTCCCTCCATGTTCATGTGTGTAGTGTGATTTTTTCTTTTTTAAAGGCAATTCAATTTGTTTTACAAAATTTTATGATTTTGGTTAAAGAATTTTTGAGATAAAAGTATTTGTTTTATTTCATTAAAATAAATTCTCTCTAAATGCATGTTTCATTTTTTTTTTAAAGATAAATTTTTTTAATACTTTGAATCCTTAGTTAGATTTAATTTGCAAACATGACATATACCTCTGAAGGTGGTGTAGTGGTGGAAGTGTTAGTCTGTTAGTTTGAATTTAGAGGTCTTAGGCTTAAATGCTATTGGGGGGCTATATTTATGGGAGTGAACTCCAGGCGATTATGAAGCGCATAGATACAAGTTATGTCTTGGAATGAAAGAGAATTTTGAATTAGCTTTGTCTACGAACAAGGAAGCTATAAGTAATGTAACTAGGAATATCATGGAGAGTTTGATCCTAACTTAGAATGAATGTTGGCGGCATGCCTTACACATGCAAGTTAGACGAGAAGTGGTGTTTCCAGTGGCGGACGAGTGAGTAACGTGTAAGAACCTACCCTTAGGAGGGGAACAACAACTGGAAATGGTTGTTAATATCCCATAGACTGAGGAGCAAAAGGAGGAATTAACTCTCTCTCAATTTTTAACACCCTTCTCCCAAACTCTCTCAGTGTCTCTCATCTTCCCCACCATTTCCTTTCATTTTTTTAGTGACTTTGGGATGTAAACCACCACCCTTCATGGCCAAAGCCTTAATCAATTTCCTCTCCACGCATAAAGCCAAGGTTTTTGCACTCTTTATCTTTCAAAATCTCATACCACGACTTACTTACGTGGTGCCAAAGGGGGTTGTTTTCATTCATGCATGTTGAAAAGGAGCCTTGATCATTCTTCTAGATACTAAATCATGGTACCAAACACTTCCTAACCTCTCTTTCTCCATATCTTCATCAATCCAAGCAGGGAGGCAAGATTCTTGCACTTCCTCCGTGAAAAACTTGAAACCTTCTTCATAACAGCCATTGTGAGATACTTTTGACCCTCTAAATGTGTTTTTCTGCATCCAATAACTGCATATTTGAATTATGTAGTGGAAAAGCTTTTAGACGCAAGTAGTTTTACTCAAAATGGACATCAGATTAACAAGTTGTGGTAAAAATGATGAGATTTTTTTCTTGCTATGAGTTTCTATGTTTTAGTAGCAAAGGAGGCCACTTTTTTGTTTCTCTAGTCTCCAAACTTGACATGCAAATATCTTCTATATTCCTTGTAGAAATACCTTATCAATGGTATATTGTGAGCTTTACTTCGATATTGTTTGTCCCCTTAATCGCCTAGAGTACGTGAGTACATTCATTTTTACGTTTTTTCTACAATAACAGTGTAAATAAGTGTTTTTTTTTCGCCCTCTGTAATGGTTTGTCTTAATATGAAATTTTGATTTTCACAAACTACATGAAGATAGCTTTCAATGCGCTACCTCAAGCTTGATTCAAAGTCCATTTCACCACTCAACGAGTTAATTTTGTAAGTATAATCCAAGTTGAATTCTACTAGTTTAACAACCACCATCCTTGAATTTCTAGAAAATTTTCATGCAAAGAAACTAACACACAAATATGCTATCTTGCTCCTTATTGTTTTAGCTCTCTAACGCACATTGCGGCTCATCGATTGAACTATAATTGACCAAGATATGCACAAAATGGTGAGACGCATGCAAAGTTCAAAATTTCAAAAAAAAAAAGTGCATTTTTCACCATACATGCAATTTGTTCTGCATATTTTATCTGCTAAACCTTTTTATTTTTAAATTGTCTTTATTCCTTCGTATAGTACACTTCATTAACTTTCCATAGCCATTTTTGGAGTAAGATTTGGAGCAAAGATCAATGAGAAAAATAATTTTTACCATGCTATATCAGATTTTAAAAATTTCTAAAAGTAGTGAAAAGAATAAAATTTTAATTTCCTTTTCATCCAACTTTATGATATGCATGAACACTTCTGAAATCCTTGTAATGATATCTTTCTATGAAGCTGTTTTATGCACAATTTGGAGCTCGTTGATCATTCAATTGCATGCACAAAGTGAGCTACTTCAAGCAATCATGCATTGTGTGACAACGGATTTAAAACTTTGCAAAACTGTGATTCTGCATTGTACACATGTATGAAAAATTATTTTGAACACATTTTCACAACCCTTAAGATGTTATCTTTCAAACCCTTTATACAAAAATGGATTTGGACATCAATTTCTCTACTTTTAAGCCAAGATTAAAAAACTGCGCAAGTTAAAATTCTGCATAACTAATTTATGAAAAAACTTGTTATAACAACAACTTTTTCTCAAATTCTAGATGAATATTTATGTTGAATGATTTTTATAGTTTCATCAATGCATTCTAGGTAATATTATCTTTTCAACAAGCTATCTTAAGCCCATTTTGGATCCCATTTGCTAAGTCAAAAAGTCAGGACAAGGGGAGGTCTCATTTCAAGAATCACTAGACATAGTCTACATAAATGTGAGTGTTGGGATCAATCTGAACTTCCAAAAACTTGAATGAGCATATTTTTAGAAACTTCAATGTTTTAGATTTTAAACAAAATTGGTTAGACTTGATTTGGATCACAAGTAAATGAGATATGTAAATTTTAATGAAATTGTCTCA